CCAGATAGTTCTAGATGATGGATACGGAATCCAGCTCTCCCTGGGTCTAAAAGCATCAGATGATGAAGAAAGAAAATCTCAAGCTTGAGATTGGACAGTCATAGGAAATACACTGGGACTTTTTCAGCCTACCTTTATTTATTTTTTTTTGAGATCTTATTTCTTTATTTTAGAGAGAAATAGAGAGTGCAAGTGGGGGGATTAGTAGGGAGAGAAGAGAGGGAGAATCTCCAGCAGACTCCGTGCTGAGCATGGAGCTCGACATGGGGCTCAATCTCATGACCTTGAGAAGCATGACCTGAACTGAAACCGAGAGTCGGATGCATAAACTACTGAGCCACCCAGGCCTCCCATTGGCCTAACTTTATTTTGTTTAGAACCAATTGCTGTGTGCCAGGCATGGAGCAATATACTCTGCAAAAATAAATCTCCCCAAGTGGTCCTTGACCTTGAGGATCTGATGTATAGTGTCCAAGGTAGATATTTAAGTAAGTAACTCTGTTAATAGTTCTATAATAAGAGCTCATAAATGCTGTGGAAACTCAGATGAATCAGCTGCTCACTTTTGACTGAGGGGAGGAGGAGGGGAGCAAACTTCTCATGGGATGAGAGTCCAACTGATCCTCGAGCAATGGGCACCTATTATTAGGCAAAGGGGCCAGTGAAAGAGGAAAGGCATGCCAGGAGAAGAAATGGCATGAGAAAGGTAGATAAAAGTTTAAAGTGGCTTCTGCCTCTAATTCATGAAGAATCGTCTGACTTAAGGGTGGGTGGTGAAGGAACGGGCTGGCAGTGAGACAGAAACAGTATGTTTGTTTGACAAACCCCACATCACGGGATGGAGACTTTATCTCCTTCCATAGGGAGCACGCACATTTTTAAGCACAGGGAAGATATTACAGAACTGAATTTCAAACAGACATATGTGGTAGAGCAGTGGGTGAGACTAGGCAACGAGCTGAGGGGGCTATGGATTCAGGCAGAGGTGATGAAAACTGGATCTCAGGCTCCAGAGTTCAGAATATTTAGGGTAGGAGACCCATTGTGAGCATGTTAATAGGAAAGGTGTGTGTGTGTGTGTGTGTGTGTGTGTGTGTGTGTTTGTGTAAAGGTCTGAACATCCATAAACATACATAACTTCATAAAGATGGATGTGCGACTTTTATATCTATCTATAGATAGATTTTTTTTTTATGGACAGAAGGAAAGAAGAAAAGGCAGGGAGGAGGCAGAGAGAAACCCAGGAAGGAAGGGAAAATAGTGTACACAATAAGCAAACAAGAGAAAAGAAAGTTTGTCCCCAGGGAAGGAAGCTGGACGGGCCTTCCTAGTGAGGTGCATCTGTTCCCCCGGCTGCTGTAAAGGTTTACTAAATTCTAACATCGGCCCAGGGGGTATGGGCATGTTTGTATGGGGAGGGGGTCATGAGATAGAATAATGGGGGAAAAGAATAAAAAGCAGCATAATTTCTGAGACTTTGAATACCACAAATGAGTCATCAAGTGGAATTTCACTTTGTCTTTCCATATTTCCACAATTAGCCTATTCATGTACACAAAAAGAGCACACGGCACATTCCAAAATGACACAAGACTTGTTCCAGGCACTGAAGAGGGATGCTGAGACTCGCCTTCCCTGCCATCCCTGGAGCATGGGCAGAGGTCCTGGCCTCTGCACTCAGCCGGCGACGAGACAAGGCATGGGGGCACCACCACCTCCTTTCATAACGTTTCTCATATCTTTTCTTCCCTGTAAATTATACTCTCTAGGCGTTTGCTGGGAGAGATAATGCTGCTCCCATGTGAATTGAATACCCAGTGCCCTGCATGCATGAGTGTGTCAAGGCTAACCAGGTCTATTGTTCTTAAACAGTGCTGCCAGAGAATTGTCTCCTTGTGCAGAATGATGCTGAGCAGATAAAAATATCTTTCATTTCTATAGTGCTATGCATCTTAAAGTGTGTTCCACATTTTGCAAACTATATATAGGCTCAATTCATTACCCATCCCCATAAAATACAGCCAGAGCAGTGGCAGGCACATGCCAGATGTTTGACAATGGTTTAATAACGCAGCAAAGAATAAGTTAAATTGGATTCAGAAAACAGGAAATAGGATGTGGGGCACTAGGTAAAACTTTGCCATTCATTCACCATTATGTGTTGAGTGCCTACCACCTGCCAGGGCAAGAGCTAGTACACAGTTGTGAACCGGGGAGGCCCCGCCCCTGCCCTCTTGGACCTGCCAAGATATCCAGGAAGATCCATGAGCAGACACATTTTCTAGTTAAGTATGGTTTGTATTAAGACCGAGTTAAAAATTCAAGGTGTCATGGTCCTTACTTCCTTTAAGGGGAGTCTTTACAACTAGCCACCCTGGCACCAGCATTCCCTTCCTTTGATAAAAGGTTCACACCCAATGCAATTAGGAGACGAAAGTTGAAGAAAAGCTGATTCTGGGACCCAGAATCCTGGCTGGACGTGGGGCATGGTTCTGGGAAAAATAAGAGGAGGAAGGAAAACACCAGTTGAGCAAGCTGCAGAAAGACCTGAGGACAGAGTAAGAGGAACATGGAAGAGTCTGGGGAAAAGCTGTACCCAACCGGAGCAGAGGGCTGTCCGTAGATTCCACGGTGGCCATTTGTTTGCTCATGGGCGAGGATCAGTCACCCCCAATCACTTGCCCCGACACTGAGGGCACTGTGCAAGTGCCTCCAAATCTCTCCAGCCAGAGAGAGGTAGCCTCTGGAGAACAGGCAACAGAGTTTCAGGGCCGGGAAGGATCCTAGAGAGCCACTGTCTCAAATCCGTCATTTTCATAGATGAAGAGAGACCTGGCAAGATTCATTAAGTGGCTGCAACAGTTCTGTGTGTCCAGGCCAGACAGAGCCCGGTCAATAGGCCCGCCTCACTTAGGATCCCCTCACTTAGTCTCGGTCTTAGGTGAATCAAGGGAGACAGTTTCATCGTGTCCTTGGGGGATGTTTTCAAAAGCTGCTGACCTGGTCCTCTGTGCCCTTCTGCATCCCTGTGAAGAGACTGACCACAGGAATCAGGGCTTACCCTCTTATAATCCACCTCCACAGGTATTGTAAAGAAATCTGGCTTAGATAATGAAAAAGAAATCGGCTAGAAGATTGTGACTGTCCAGCTCAGGCAGGCTGCCCCCCAGGAAGGACTCCTGAAGACCACTTGGTCTCTGGATGTATATGCGGCTTTGAGCTCTTATTAACTTACCCAGGACGGAGAGTCAGATTACCCTAAACTCCCAGAAGAGGCCGGCTCAAGATGAGTTTAAATCCCCAGACAAGAAGGTATTAGCCAGTACTGGCAGGATATATGAAAAACAAAGGGAAATGTGGTTTATAATGTATCTGTGCAACAAATATTGTGAAGAGGCATTAAGCAGGAAATTCTCCCCTCATGATGATTGCCTGTCTCGTACAACAGCCTCCCCCTCTTCACCTCTTTATTCAGGGTAAAGGCACCTCGAGAATACAAGGAGACAGAGAGAGAGAGAGAGAGAGAGAGAGAGAGAGAGGGTGCCCTGCCATCAAGAGCAGTGGTGGGAGAGCGAGGAGGGCAGGGCAGTACAAATACAGGACCCAAGGTTGGGGGTGCTGTCTGCACCTCAGCCCTGCAGCTTCCTGTAGGACTTCAGGCAAGCGGGCCTAGGATCCCGCCTGACAGATGACCTCCAGGGCAATTTCTGTCTTTTAAAAAGCCAATGAGAGGTTTCATAAATTTTCCTCCAAACTATCCACCTGTGTTTACTTCTTCCAGCTAGAAGACAAACTTCTTCCCAACTACAAGACATCTGTGTATTTATTCCACACATCTTTATTAAGTACCCACCCGCCCCCCCACCACCCCTGCAGGCCTTTGCCCAAATGGGAGTAATAATAAATACTACAGACATCCAAGGGAAAGAGGTCCCTGGAAAGTAGTGACCAGCTAGGGTGTGCAGGGTCTGTAATGAACTCCGGCCTCCAGGCACGGGGCACCGAGCTGCAGCACCTCCCACCCCCGCACTGCTGCATCTGGACCCCCTCCTGCCTCCCTCTCTTTGTCCCAGACCGCAGAAAACTCTGGGGGCACGCCTGCTGCCAGGAGAGCAGGGCTTGGAAGCAGCCCTGCGGAGACTTGGCCCTTCCGAAGCTTCTTGGCCGGCGAGCAGCAGAATCTGGAGCCAGCCCCGTTCCCTACAGGCTCCGGCCTCCGCTAGCTCTCGGCGGCCAGAGCCCGGCGGCTCAAAGGACACAGGACTGGGCACCGAAGGCCGGGAGGGAGGTGGGTGGGGGCTGGGGCTGCTGGACTCGGCCTCCCGGGCTGCGGTCCAGGAGCGGAAACGCTGGAGAGGATGCCACCTGCTGGTGAGGGCCCTCGGCTCGCGCGGTGGGCGCCGCGGAGGCCCGGCGCCGGGATGTGCAGAGCCAGAATTTGGGCAGTTTTCCAAGCGCTTGGTTTTCTGCGGTCCCTTTAGGGCTGTCACCTCCACGGGCCCTGCCCCGAGCCCCGCAGCCTCGAGTCCCGCGTTCGGGACGCGCAGGGTCCCACGGGGGGGGGGGGGTAGGTGTTCCTCCTCCCTTCCCTCCCCTCCTTTCCCCTCCCTCCACTCCCCACCCCTCCCCTCTCTCCCCTCCCCCTCCCTCTCTCCCCACTTCTCCGCTCCTCTCCCCTCCCTCCGCTCCCCTCCTCTCCCCTCCCTCCCGCTCCCCTCCTCTTCCTCCGCTCCCCTCCCCTCCCCTTCCTCCCCTCTCCTCCCCTCTCTCGGCTCCGCTCCCCTCCCCTCGACTCCCCTCCCCTCTCTCCGCTCCCCTCCCCTCCCCTCTCTCCCCTCCCCTGCCTCGGCTCCCCTTCCTCCGCTCCCCTCTCCTCCCCTCTCTCCCCTCCCCTGCCTCGGCTCCCCTTCCTCCGCTCCCCTCCCCTCCGCTCCCCTCCCCTCGCCTCGCCGCGCGCCCGCAGGTCTAGGACTCTGCCCTCCTCTCCATCAGGTGGAGCCGTCCGCGCCGCCCGCCGCCTGCTGCCCGCCCCGCCCGCGAACCGCGCGCAGGCACCTTGCAGCGCCGGGAGGTTAACGGAGGCCCCGGAGGAGGTGAGGCCCCGGAGCGGCGGGGCGGGGGTGGCCGCGGCCGTCGGGGCTGGCGCCAGGGCCCGGCCGGCTGTGGGTCCCGCAGGTACCGCTGTCGTGCTCGCCGCCCCACGTGGTGGCTGCCGAGGGTTGCCGTGGTTTTTCCGGCACTCGGGCTTGAAACGCCTCCCGGTCCTTTTAGAGGCAGGCGGCTCACCACTTAATCCAAGCTTTTTTTTTTTTTTCTTCCCCTTCTGCCGGGGACCGGAGGCTGCGGGGAGGGGGCGGAAGGGGGTTGGGGGGGGGCTGGGAGGGGTGGAGGGAACAGGCCCAGCTGGCTTGGTGGGGATTTGAGCCAGCTGCAGGGTCGCGAGGCCAGTCTCAGGGACCCGTGCGAGGGCCAAACAAGGTCCTGCCAACCCCGGGTTCCCACCGTCCCTCTCCTGTCCGAGACTGAGTGTGTGTGTGATGCGCACACGCCCCTACGTGGGCCTGATTTCCGCGTGTTGCCCAGTTCACTAGCTTCACGACCCTGGTTTTGTAATATTTCCCTGGGGCCTGAATTAAGCAAATCTGGGCCCCAGGCCACTTAGGAATTAACAGGCAAAATGAAACAGCAGCTTAAAAGATAAATGGTACTTAAAACGTCCGGTGTTGCTTTGCGAGGCACAATCTACATTCTAATATTATGAGTCTCACCCACTGCAAGGCTTGCCTCAGGGCTGGTGCCCAGACCTTCCATTCCCCCTCCCCCCCCCGCACCCGGAGACTTCACGGAGAGCTCCTACTAAAGTTACAGCGCTCCGCATGCCATGTTCTCACTCTTAATATGTTGTCTGGCATAGGTTGTTAAGAATCATCCTCCGTCTTGTGCATGTGTTTCTGATCTGCCCCTTTTGTTTCGCTCTATTCTCTGTCATCGAAGGAGCGGGGCTGAGGCTGTGCTGACACTTTGCTTCTGTACCTTGTTTGCTCATTTAGCCGATGGGGGCCTCTTTGGGGTCCTCTTTAGTTTCTGTTGCTCAGCATTTCTTTTCTCCCTCAAAGCTTGCGTACACATTTCCCTTTGATATGTTTAACAGCCTCGAAGGGATGCAGTTAAATAAACTATTAAGTTAAGAATAGAAAAGTCAACAAAGCAGACACCTACTAATTTGTAGATCTTTGATGTCAACTACCAGATGTAAGCTCCTACCAGCGCCGGCTTTCCTCACTTTTCCTCGTGGGGCCCTACTTCTCTTTTTCTTGTTCCTCACTACCAAGGGATACATTTTTAAAGTTAACATCCACATGGAAACTTGGAGTTGGAATGTGCCTCCAAGTCAGTAAAATCCCCAAAGTATGTAATAGTGGATGGAAGGAAGGCTGAGAGTTTCCCAAAAGACCTCCCCAAGGTCCAGTGAGTGAAGAAAGCAATGACTGATTTTATGTTGAAAGGCACACATCAAGAGGGCATCTTTCATTTTTTCCCCTTACTCTTTAGTCCACCCCTTTCTTCTGTAAAATGCTGCCTATTATATGCAGTTGTAACTATCCTTATAGTTTGTATCTTAGGTGTATTCTCTGCTTCCACACCAAACTGTGAGCCCCTGAAGACATGGTCTGTTCCCTGTGATTTTCATTACCCCCAGTGCCTGCTTAGCTCAAGTATCTCTATCTAAACATCCATCAAGGAAATAGATGTAGATAAATTCACTTTGTTACCCTTTAGGGAAACAGACTTGGATTTGAGTGTGGGCTTCACCACAGGGGACAGACCTGAAGCTTCTTCCCAGGCAGTTGCCTATGACCTTGGCCTCTCCTTCGCAATAGGATTCACAGCACCTCTTGGAGAAAAGACACTCTGAGAGTGATGGAGGGCTTATTAGAGGAGAGGCTGCAAACGCAAAGACAGACTGCTCCCCTCTCCTTGTTAGGAAATGCACAACCCAGGATGGTAATAATAATAAATGGGCATGTGTCACAAACCTGCTCGATTTCCCTCCTAGTTCCTTCATTTTGCTTGGGAGGAGTGGTGCAAGGCGAACCAAGGTCTAAACGTGCAAGCTTTATTCCCTTACCTCTCCCCCTTCTAGGAAAGTCTCCAAAAAAGGTAAAAAAAACAAAACAAACAAACAAAAAAAAAAAACGTGCTTATCTCTTCCCCCAACTCCGAGACTCCAGCTGCACACATTGGCCAAGTCCTTCCTTGAGAGGGATGTATCCCACCCCCCACCCCACCCTACACACACACACACACTCCACACTCGCCGCTCTGCTTTTCCCTTTCAGCCGGTTTCCAATCCACCACCCTCACCACCACCCCATCCCCGTGCAAAGGCAGGGCGTGCATATTTATAATATGCATCCTTAACTTCACTCCCGCTGCACAACAGTGTGTGCTGTGGACAAAAAGTCACAGTGGGCTCCCCGTTCCAGATGCCTGTGGGTCCATCATGGTGACAAAAGCTGAATTTCCCCCTCTTTGGGGGGGAAAGGGAGCAGGGAAGGGAGCGCGCAGCCTCCCCCTCCCCTCCCCGCCCTCCGCGCTGCATAGATCTCCTTTTCTCCAAGTGTTTCCTCTTTAATTATGACCTGTTCCCCCTCCCTCTCCCCCCCACCCCAGCGTCAGTGAAAGGAGCCCTTCTGTCACTCGTCACTGGCTCCCTCGCCCGCCCGCCCGCCGCCCGCCGTGGGAGGAGCCCGCCGGAGGAAGCCGTGCGCCGGGGCTGCACAGAATGGATCTGCTCGGAGCGGGGACGTCGCTGAGCAGCCCGGCTTCCCGCGGCGGCTAGGAGCCGGCCACTGGCCTGGGCGGGCTGCGGGGACCGGGCCCCGGGAGCACCGAGGCGCGACCCCGGGAGCATCGCGGCCGAGGCTGAGCGCGGCCAGCCCCCGGGAGGACAAACTCACGGCCACCCCAAGTTGCGCCGCCGGCCCCCCCTCGCTGCGCTGAGGAATGAGACCTCTCCAGCTCGATCTGCTCTTCGTGTGCTTCTTCCTTTTCAGTCAAGGTAGGACCCCCCAACCCCCACCCCCACCGCGCGGGCCGGAGTGGCCGGGACCGGTCCACGGGGCGGCGGGGCGGCCGGCGCGGGCGGGGAGCGCAGCCGGGGGCGGGCAGGCTGGGGGAACCGCGACCGGTCCTTTGCGCCCGGGATGCGCCGGCCGCGCGCCTTCGCGAATGCAACAAAATGGTCCCGTGTCTTCTCCTCCGGGAGCTTGGGGTGCGGGAGGGGTGGCTTGCTCCTCTCACTTGTCAACATCCAGCTCAAACTCTCCGATGCAAATGAGTTCTTTATGCTCCCGGAGCGTGCGGATGCTCCCGGTGCGTGCGGGAGGCAAGCCTCCCGGCGGGGACGCCGCTCTCAACTTCTGGGCGCCTCCTCGCCTTCGGACTCGGGTGGCAGGAGGAGAGACAGCTGGGTCTAGGCGGCTGCTCCAGCTCCACCGAGGTCCGCCTCGCACGCACGGGTGTAGTCGGAGAGCCGGCGTGTGCGGTTGCACGGCTGCAGAAGGGGCCGCGACTCGCGGATGCACCGCGGGGGTCGTTTGCAGCGGTTGGGAAAAGCGTGTAAAGAGTTTCATTGAATTGAACCGGGGTTGTCTGAATAAGGCTGCATTCTGAATCCTACACAGCCCTGGATTGAGAGCCTAAAGTGAGCATTTGGCCGCTGGTGCTAATTGTTGACTTTGTGCAGCCTGGCAGGGGAGCAGAGCGGCTGGGGGGACTTGCCCTAAAGAACTTCGCTACCTCTGGGCTGGCTCCCTGCCCCCCTTCCGGGAGCCCTGGCGCTGGCAATGCTGGAGGGGTGGGGAGGGAAGTCTGGGGAGGCACCGTGAGTGCCTCCTTAGCCAAAGGCATCAAAAGTCACCTGTGGAATTGAGTTCGAAAGGGGATGAGTAAATCGGCTCCTTCCCACTCCTTTGGAATGCCCGAGCTGCCTCTGCCATCTGAGGCAGCACTTGTGCCAGCCAGCACAGCTCTGAGAGGGACAGGACTCTCAGAAAAATCCACAACAGAGCATGTCCATCTGTTGATTAAATGAAGGGTAAAAGTTTTCAAGGAAGCAGAGCACCGCCATGGGTGGCTGGCTCTGCAAGCAAACAGCACGTCTCCTTTTCTTTCCCTGTCAGGGAGAAGCCAAATGTAAGCAGAAACCCACGCCTCCTTCCTCTGCTCTGCCATTGGTACTTGTGGTCACTGCAGATTTTCCCCTTGTCAAACTTTGCTCAGGGCCACCCTGATGAAACCGGAGGGGCCTTTCCCCCATAGCAGTGTGTGTACACCCACGCCTGTATGTAATTATAATGTGTGCACACACACACTCATGTATTCATAGGGTAGCGTGCATCTCACCAGGGCTCCCTACAACAGCAGGAAGATAAATTGCCTTCCCTAGAGTTTTCAGGCTGAATGAATAAGAACTATCTGAGAACACTGGTACAGAAACAGTTTGGGTTATATTACCATTTTTGTGAGATCACTCTCCTTGGATGCCTGTATGCTTGCTTATGGGCGCGCACCCGCGTGCGCGCGCGCGCGCGCGCGCACACACACACACACACACACACACACACATGATCTCCTTTGCCTCTTTCCAATTTACTCAGGAAGTTGCCTGCAGAATCCTTAAAAGGAGGAGCCCGCCATCCCCCCCCCCACCAGCCGCCGCCCCGCTCCACAAATGTTCATGGGACCCATGCACATTTTAATCAGCCCATGTGTGGTTGGAAAGCTTGAGCTGTGATTCTCCTCTAGATTGGCATAAGAAGCCTTTGGTGTCTTAAGTGCCTCTCTGGCTGTCTGAATCATCACAGTGTGCATCTTCTGCTTTTCTTATCCCTTTCTCAGTACCGAGCTGTTTTTTCACTGTCTCATAGGAGTCTTTAAATATTTACCTATGGAGGTTAAACGCTCCGTTTCATCTGCCCTTAGCCCTGAGAGCCCTAGGAAGAAACCACCGTGTCCTGCAGTGCCTACTTGCCTGTTACTCCTGAGTGTTCTGAGCTTGGCCAGCACTTACCAAATGGCAGATGTCATGGCCCACGGGGCTCCAGAAAGGGTCTAAAGAAAGACGATGGGACAAAGCGGAGGCAGCTGGTCCAAATGCCCTACAACACCGGACGCTGCGGGTTTCGTGCATAGACAGCCCCCGATGACCGGAATTAAGGGCCAAGTGGGATGATGTTTCTGGACTTTTGTGATATGCTACCTTTTGACTTGATCCATAGACCTGTGTTTTACTGTGGGTGTTGTTTTGAGTATCGTGAATTCCCCGGATGATTCCGTTTGATACTAGATGTATGTGATCAGTTCGCGTGCTGTGCCCGCCCCTGCCTAGCGCCATGCATTTCTCAAGTCATCAGTTAGGGCGCATCCACTTCCGAGAGGTCGTGAGAGGACCAGCCCGCAAGCTCTAGGTGACACCCACACACGTCCCCCTCACCGAAGTGGCACCCTGCCTGGAATGCCCCGTCGAGCCACCCGTTTGACCCTCACATCCCACAATGCTTCCTCCTGGGATACTTTCCAAGGAAATGTGCAGAGACTCAGGGATGCCCCTCCTCTCAGAGAAAACAAATGTCCAGGGTTCTTTTTAAGCCTTTATCTGGCACTCCGGTGACACATCCATCTGCTGCCCAGCACCTCTCCCAGTGGGAGCCTATGTGTCATTTTAGAGTTTCTGGAAACACAATTCTCATGCTTCCTGCTCCCGTTGTCTTCGTTGCCTTCCAGAGAGTGAGCTCCAAACAGTGCTCTGACGACTTGCGTGGCAAAACCTTTAAGGAAGAACTCTTAAAATCCCTTTCAGTTGTCCTTTCTCTCCTGACATGTCCAATGTTTATTTACGTTCCCTTTTTCTTGTAACCCTTTAGAGAGTGAAATGCACGTATAAGTAATGTCAGTGCTATGCTGTGTCCCCTCTCCCTTTCAAGTTTGGTCTTTGCGTGTAGACTGAGATGAAATATTTATTTATCTTTCCTAAGGTGGCAGTAGAAAGGCCAAATGGCATCCCTCCATTTCCGCCCCTGCCAGCGTCCCTGGGCCACAAAGAAATGGAGAGCTGCCAGTGTGTACTGCTCGTGGGTTTCTCTCTTGCTGGGGATGCCTCTTCCATCAGCTGGCAGGACTGTGTGCTTTGTACAGAGAGGGATAATGTCACAGCACAATTTGCCTCCTGCAGAGAAGAGGCATGTTCTCTGCCCCTGGGTGAAAAGGAATCGATTCTCTTGTCATCCATAAACTTAGAACTTGCTATATTTTTTTCCCTTTATCATTTCCATTTGCCCACAACTATTTCCCTCTGTGCCCTCCTTCATCTTCAAGAGCCATGCCAGCCAGCCTGCACATCCACATCTTAAGTAGCTATGAAGGACTAGTGTTCCCTGCTTCCTGGCAGATCTCAGTGTTGAGACAGTCTGGAGGGTGTGTGGTGATAACAGAGTTGGTGCCTTGAGCTCAGACACTCCTCAGAAGGGTGTTCCCCTCCTGGCTCACTAACATTTTCCTCTAGCACTCCCAGACCTGGCCTGTCTGGCCTCATAACCTTGTGGGGTCTGAAAGCTCTAATTCCGGTGAGCCCAGATCTCTTGTGGGATTTACACGTACTCCAGGCTGCTCTCGAACATGTTGGGGTGATAAACAAAAACTTACACTTACCTGTCAATGACATCTCTGAGTTGAGGATTAATCTGGGGTGTCACCTCCCCATTGGGAAGAATCTGAGTGACTTGCTCTCCTGACCTGCTGGCAGGAATCACCGAAAGGCTGTCAGATGGCTCCCAGAGGGGCAGAGGTTCGTGCTGACATGACTCTCCAAGGGAATAGAAGAACCTGAGGCAGACACGGGGCAAATAGCTTGTGAGTGGAGAGACCCAGCTAGGACGAGGGAAGCCACAGGGATGGCAGGGAGCTTGGAAAGGAAGGATCAACTGCAAGATGGCCTGAACTTGCAAGAAGCTCCTTTGGAGAGGGAAAGGAGGGAGAGGGAGAGGAAGCGGAGCACCGGAAGATACCATGAACACATAAGAGACAGCTAAAAGAATGGAAGGATCATAGGGGGTATAGGCTGGGAAGGCATGAGAACAAGGAATTGGGTGTGAACAGCAACTTAGCAAACAGTTAACCTTGCCCAGAACTGTCCTATAACAAAAGATGAGGCAAGTAATAAGGGTGTTGCTCCCCCCACTGGCACTCCAAGTGGTATGACATCTTGTAGAGGAGAGGAAGAATAGTTTCTTTTGTCCTAGAAGGTCAGTGCACAACTGCCAAGGGTGTGGGACCACTTCTTTAGCAACATCCTCCGGGTGAGGGGAACTGGGATGTGTCTGTTGGGCATGGGGGTGGTCTCTGTGTCTGCTGCCCAGCAGGGAGCTCTCTGTTTGCCAGCCAGACCTATTGAGGAGGGAAGAGAAACTCCCCAGGGGGAGAGGGGTGCAGGGTGAGGTCAAAGCCTGCACCCTACACTTAGAGGATGCAGTGGGGGCCTCCCTCTTGGGTTACAAAGGAGGATCTCACTTGGAACATGGCAGCAGTGAGCTAGGCATGGTACCAAGGAGCAGGTCTCCCTGGTGTGCCTGTGTTGGTAGGAGCCAGGGCCAGCAGGAGACGGGGTGGAGCAGGGGATTAGGCCTGAAGATGCAATTTTTCTTTTTTGTTCAGCCCAGTGGGGGTGACTTAGGCGGCATTATATTGCAGACCCAAAAAAGCACATGAATAATCCAGAGTGAATTCAAGAGATTTCAATAGCAAAATAATAACAATACTAATGATACCTTTGATTCGCAGAGTACTTTTCTTCCAAGGAGATAAAAAGATAAACTGTTTTGGAAACATGAACAAGGAAAAGAAAATTGCTTGTGATGGAGGAGTGGGAAGGAGGGCCAACAGCATTCATTTTAGGGTCTCATGTAAATCGGGGGTGGCCGGGATGGGCGGGGAGGGGGGATGTTATATGGGCATAGGCATCGTTTCCTTAGCTACAGTCCTTATCCTTCTAAAATGATGAAA